TTGTATTCTATACATGTTAGTATATCATTTGAATCCATTGTTGTGACATCTTAACCTCCACAGATTGACATATTGTAGAAGATTATAGCTTATTGTAGAAATAGTGACTTTTTTGCAGTAAATAGCTTGTTTCGACTGCCTAGAAATAGTATTTCTCGTTTGCTGTCACCCAATAGACTTTTTACAGAACTGCAAAACAAAATAGCAGCAACAGGACTCGAACCCTCGACCATTTGCTTCGTAGTCCGCTGCTTTGCCACTGCGCCACTGCTGCGTTATTCTAGCGGCCCGCTCATCACTGGGTGCGCTGGCTGCGCCGGAGGAAAATGGCCTTGTAACTCCCCCCACAAAACCGCTCGGCACCTAGCGAAAGTAGTTTTGAGTTTGCCTTACGGAGGACGGTTTCCTAATATACAGCTCATTCCAAATGGCCACTTCGACCGAGTATCCTTCCCTTGTGAGTTCAGCCGGCTCATCCAACTCACCCCATCCACTATTTCACCAGTGAGACTAGTAGTGGAAGTGGTGAACCGGATAAAAATCGGATAAGTCTGATATCGGCCTAAGGTACCAAAGTGATTTGTTCTGGGGTTACAGCTAGAAATGTAAAAGATTGGGGGCAGCAGACTTCCTTGCCTTAAAGCAATTTTATAATGAGTAATTAGGAGGGATGTAGGGTGGTGTAGCCACGACCTCGTTTTGTCATTGCGTGTGTGAGTCAGATAAGGAACATGATTATACTTGAAAATGAATATAATTTATCTCATATGCATCTTCTACGATAGCGCCATTTTCCATGTTACAGTCGGTGGGTATACGGCATATGGGTGGAAATTGCGAATTTGGAATCCTAGACTCTGCCTTGACGAGTTCTGAGCGCTGATTTTGGATATCAACTCTTACGTTTTGAAACCTTTCTAAAGAATTTTTCTGTTTTCATCTTATTTGGCCACCGTTTTGGTGCTTTTCGAACGCCAATAATCGTACATAGGGGGACATAGGGTTGATATCGCTATACTGCACTTATTCCACCCAGGACCACATGCTCGCACGCTATTAGTGATAGCGTCTCCTTGTTGATATTGATTGGTTGCCTTATGCCGGCGGACGAAACATCTCCGAAAATTTGGCGAAAAGTGCAAAAAAGGCGCTCGCGTTGTTCGCCTCATTTTTCGATGCGATTTATACTCGATACCCATTAATTATGCGCCCGCAATTATTTCGAATCAGCTTCGCTTCTTCTTTTTTGACTTCTTCGTCGACATCACAGTCGTCTATGACAATGGCAAGTTGATTTTTTAGCGAGAACTTGGATAGTGTAGCTGCCGGATTGGTGCAGATTGCAAATGCACGCTCTTGACGAAATGCTGCTGGTTGTTTGAAAGTGCCCTAGGGCTTTTCTGTCGTTGTTTTTTTGGGAATACTTTTACAATTTTTTCATTGTGGGATATTAGTGGTGGAACAGCGTGAGCTTTGAAATTCTAGCAATAAAATAGCGTGTACTACTACTTCAGCAAAAACAATCCGTCGAGCCGGATTCGAACCAGCGACCTAAGGATAGCTGCTACTCTACAGTCCTCCGCTCTACCAACTGAGCTATCGACGGCACGAACTCCCTCGCTTTGCCCGCTACTAAAAAGATAAGAGGCACTTTCCGGAAAGTTAAGACGTTGCTTGAGCATGTGGCTGAGTTTCCAAGATATGCAAAACAGCCGTAGGTTCAAAATCTCATTTTTGCTAGCACTTTCTTTGTACACTCCTGAGCATTCACTGAAAATAAGAGGCTTTCTTCAATGTTCACGTCATTACAAACGATGTGTGCAGGAAAAGTTGCAAAGGTGTTGTGTGGCGGACCATTTCTCTTAAAAGATACACGTCGTCCCGAAAAGATTATGCTTCCAGATTTTTTGTTCATCTAGCAAGTTACGTCCCAAGTCAATCTTCTTCAATATGCAAAAAAATCTATCATTCAATGACAATCAGTGGATTCGAGATCTTTTCTTTCTTGTTAGTTATTGGATATTTGACCCGAGCATTGCATTACATTACTGATTATCATAAATATAAATCTTATAGATTGTATGTCTCCTTTTTGTAAAACCTTGGCATGTTTTGTAGATATTGTTCAATTGTTTTGAGCCGTAACAGGTTTTTAAAGGAACACTTTATTTACTGCCCGACGTTTCGGCTGAATGCCGTCTTCAGGGGCCTGAAAGCGAGTCAATCACTCTTTAATCAAACGATCTAGACCACCAGACACTTCCTCCAAATCGTACATTTGACTCATCTATTGTGACGCAGATAAGTTCTCAAGTTGAACAGCTTACCAAGTGTTCCTGGTGAGGAGCGTAAGGGTGTTAGCTCTCTCTCACGGTCGCCCACAGCAGATGATGACAAAATGAGCGGTCCGAATAAGTACGACACGCTTAAATAGTGTAGGCTACTCACAGCTCGCAAAAAGGTAGAAACGGCTTCAGATCACTAGTGATAGACAAATGTTCGTTTTTGCTGTTCATTTTAGGATTACGAGCAAGTATGAATGAAGCCTCTAACGCTTTTCGAGCAGCAATATGTTCTTCGACAGCCAAAATGCAACACTGGATTTCAAAATCATCTCCTCCATGGTCCTCTTTCCTGTGCTTTCCAAGAGGGCTTACGAGACTTTGCCTTCTCTTACTCGCCAGATGTTCGCTGACACGTACATGAAGTGGTCGACCAGTTTCGCCTATGTAAATGGCATGGCATATCTTACATTCTAGCTGGTAAATCACTCCGCATTTCGAACAGTCTCCTAACCTCTCATTTGTGCAAACAACGCTGTTTTGCATGCGGCAGTACATATTATATGTATGTAATATTATGCACAACTAACAAGGGAACGATACTCGGTGTCCGTGGACTTTTGAGATGAGATGTATACCATTACGCTCGCCTTCGAACGCTGATTCCGAATCTGACTTCCGTTTCTGCTAATCGCTTCAAAAATGTTATGATGGATCGCGCGGAGTTTGGCTGCCCAGTGAAATATGGTAGGAGCGCCGACGCTTACGTTGCGCTGTGGCCTAGTGGTTAGTGCAGTAGCCTCATGAGTCGATGCAGGTATAGGTTCGAATCCTTCCGTGTTTTTCAGTTTTGCCTTGGCTCATTTAACCTTCTTTCGCATCTTCGAGCTAAGTGAACGCTTTTACTCTTCAAAAATGTGTAAATTTGGAATAAATGATTACTGTTTGCGCTAAAATGTATCTAATGATCATAATTCGAATGAATTTTCTTGAACAAGTGAGGCAGTGCAAAGGTAAAAACACAAAAGGATTTGAACCTACACCTGCGTCAACTCATGAGGCTATCGCACTATTTACTAGACAAGAAGGTAGCCGCAGTAGAGGCCGTTTCAATGACCATATTCTCCTTGGGCGGCCAAACTTGGCTCAAATTTCGCTATAACTTCTTTCAGAGAAACGATTAGCAGAAACGGAAGTCAGATTCGGAATCAGCGTTCGAAGACGAGTGTAACGGTATGCATCTCATCTCAAAATGCCACGGACATTGAGTATCGTTTCCTTGTAAGAGGACTAGCGATGGGACAAAGACTAGCGCCCGCGCTCGCTATTTGCTTTATGAGCAAAATAGAGGAGCCGGTATTATCACGATGTCCCCTGATGTACTGCCGTTACATCGATGATTGTTACATTGCTACTGCAACTCAATCCGAAATGGATGAGTACTTTAGAATCCTCAATGAACAATCACGGTACATCAGCTTGACAAGACAGAGACCACACGATGGCTGGCTACCATATCTAAATACACAGGTGATGTTGGAAAACGGAGCAGCACACGTCAAATGGTATCGGAAGGAGAGTTCTAAGAATATAATTCTGCATGCCACATCTGCGCATCCATCTGCTGTAAAACGAGCGATTATTCGCAATATGTTTAAAACAGCGCGCGATGTTTGCAGCGGTGAAGTTGAAAGACTAGAATCTACGAAGCTGGCATACGAGATAGTTGTCAAGAATGGTTACCAACTGCAGTCCAGATCTCGCAAGAGAACATGCGCGAACGCTAGCAGTCAGACTCGACCACGTATATCGCTATGCTTACCGTTCGTGTCCGATAGAGTAAGCAACGCTTTTAAGCAATGTCTCGTACAAGCGCAATTGGCGGATGATGTTGTTTTAGTGAACATACCCCAAGACAACATCAAAAAGCAATTGGTCCGCAATAGATTGTATGACAGACAATGCGTAATGCAAAACTGCGTTGTTTGCACAAATGAGAGGTTAGGAGACTGTTCGAAATGCGGAGTGATTTACCAGCTAGAATGTAAGATATGCCATGCCATTTACATAGGCGAAACTGGTCGACCACTTCATGTACGTGTCAGCGAACATCTGGCGAGTAAGAGAAGGCAAAGTCTCGTAAGCCCTCTTGGAAAGCACAGGAAAGAGGACCATGGAGGAGATGATTTTGAAATCCAGTGTTGCATTTTGACTGTCGAAGAACATATTGCTGCTCGAAAAGCGTTAGAGGCTTCATTCATACTTGCTCGTAATCCTAAAATGAACAGCAAGAACAAACATTTGTCTATCACTAGTGATCTGAAGCCGTTTCTACCATTTTGCGAGCTATGAGTAGCCTACACTATTTAAGCGTGTCGTACTTATTCGGACCGCTCATTTTGTCATCATCTGCTGTGGGCGACCGTGAGAGAGAGCTAACACCCTTACGCTCCTCACCAGGAACACTTGGTAAGCTGTTCAACTTGAGAACTTATCTGCGTCACAATAGATGAGTCAAATGTACGATTTGGAGGAAGTGTCTGGTGGTCTAGATCGTTTGATTAAAGAGTGATTGACTCGCTTTCAGGCCCCTGAAGACGGCATTCAGCCGAAACGTCGGGCAGTAAATAAAGTGTTCCTTTAAAAACCTGTTACGGCTCAAAACAATTGAACAATATAAATCTTATATTTATTGAATAGGAAAGAACACAAATGAGCGTGCCTAGTCGTTGTACAATCGTATTCTGCAGCAAAAGATATTTTAGGATATTTCCTGCTGCAATAAGCTCAATGCCAGGGTGACAGATGACCTAGAGTACTCAGAGTACCAGCTTTAATGTTCTTCGCAAGCCTTCAGCGCCTCTTCGCGCTCCTCCTCTAGTTCCTAAAAATCATCCTTTCGGCCGTTTTTATACTAGCTTGGTGACGTCGTACCTTTCTTGTGATTGCCAACTTTTGCCTGGTAAAGTCGTCCAAAGTCAGACCTTGCACAATCTTCCATTGCTTGGTGCTTGCGTCAATGGTGACAGGAAACGAGAAAATTAGGAATGGCGGAATGCCATATGAACCATCGGATGGTACAGCCATAGAAACCCATTCCCCCTAAGAATATGGAGATTCTGCTTTCATTGCACGTTTAAAAGACAAAGAAGTTTACAGGTTTTGTTCCGAAATGCCAATCGTGAATATGATCACAAGCAGCCCTAGCAGCTGACATAGCGGAGGAAAGCTTTCGTTTCTGGATAATCACAGCACCACGTTTTTGAATGTCCTAAATCGAATTTGCCATTGTACTGATCCTGAATTCGAGGTATCGACAAATCATACCGAGATGAATTGTCCTTGAAGGTAAGCATTGTCGTTAACAGCAGTATAGGCATCAATACTTTTTCCTCCTGAAACAAAAAATGAGAAATTTGATGTTCAATGAAGTGGTCTATTTTTGTCATCGTTGCGAAGCTTTGTAAGGAGTGCCGCTGCATCGAGCGGCACGCATACCTTTCGTGACTACGGCATGCCTTACATCGGGGAATTGAGTACTGGAGTGGTTTCCCCAAATAATCACATTCTTAACATCAGCAATCGTGACTCCAGCTTTTGCAGCAAGCTGAATAAAAGCAATGAAATAATAGATCAGCTTTTACCGGTGGCAGCAAAGCTATTATCTCCCTTCCAACGCTTATTATCATAGAGATCACTACTGACTTAAATGCAGACAGAAACGGGAATTTTGGACCTTATAGATTTGCAGTTTCAGCGTAAGAATTCGGAGAGCAACTTAATGCAGGAATTAACCCGTTGACCCGTCTTCGAATGTCGGAAACGTCTCGCCTCTGCCGCCCGAAGAAAGGTCGATATAATACAATATCGCTCATCATACATGTAAAAGATCGAGGAGCGATGCACCTCGCCGCTGGAACGCGTAGTTCGTTATACTTTGTGTTCTGTTCTTTCCGCCGAAAATTTGTTACGGGCGCCATAACCCTTTTCAGAGCGAACAACTTAGGATTCAAGGTCAACGTTCACCGCAGTTCGACGAGACACATCTTCCGAAATATAGTGCCATAACATGCTGCGTACGATAGGTATACGGAAGCGACCACTTTTTACGAATTTCTTGATTTTGCTTAGATAGTTTATTCGTTGTGCTGGTAACAATATTTACATGATTTTGCTGCTTTTAACACATTGTACGAATCTTGGGAGTACGGTAAGGTGTTTTGCACAGATTTGTTCCGAAAAACCTGCTCAGGGCAGTTATGATGCGCTAATTGCAAATTACTTCATTTGCTGCTGATGTTGTATATGGATACGGTGGTGAACGATTTGAGTCATTTTGTTTAATGTGTCTGAGACGTGTCTTGGGGACTTTCACAATTGCTCATCTAAGACTAATTTCATTTTTATCTTGATGTCATGCCGTAAGAGTGCCTTGATATTAGTACATAGCAATAAACTTAAATTTTTTATGCGGACGCGTTTTCTTCATAATCAAGCGTAGGCTCGTAATATATCGAGAAATTTACAAACTTTGCCAGCGGTATAGCTACAATCCTCATTATAACATCCCAGAATCTTTCCATATGTTTGAATAGAAGTATTTGATTCTGCTTGAGACCGAAAATCTCTATGAACAAGGTGGAATTCTGGCCGACTTTTTTCCTTCTTTGCACCATACTTATTGTGGTGATCTGCCAGAATATATGTGCCGTAAACCTTGCCGCTATTAAACGAACTACAAGGCATAAATGCTTCAGTCTAAGTTATGGCGATTTGGAAAAAAAATTTAACGCAAGTATCCGTGAACTTTCTTAACGCACAGAAAGTTGAGTCCCAATTTCTAATTGCTCATAAACCGCTGGGGATATGTAAGAGCACGTACATACGACACACCCTCTGCTCTTACTTGGGAGTTCCAGCTTGTACTCATGTGCCTTCCGTGGGTAGGCTTGCTGTGGATGACTTGAGCAGTGTCGCTTAGTATAAGTTATGGCGTAAGTGACATTTACTTGAACTACTCCGTGTTTTCGCGTTCGTTACTAACTTTATTCTCCGTAATTTTGACTCGCTGGTTGCTTCGAAAACTAATCTCTCGATAGTCATGATAATTTGCTTCAGACTATATTTGCTCAAACTTTATCGTACCTGAGCCAAGGCGCGGTTATGGTCAAGCCGAGTCATTGCAGAAAAGTTACGAGGAGGCACTTTGGGACCAGCGTATCTGGCACAAACAAAGGCATTTGTGTTGGCTGGATTACCAACAACGATGACCTGGAAATCACATGTACATAGACAATCCTAAACTAGCACTTTCGGATTTTTTGGACCAACCTTGGTGGTAGGTTTTGCATAAGCTTTCAAAGCTTTGCCCTGCGATTTGAAAATCTTCACATTAGCGGCAAGAAGATCCTTACGCTCCATTCCTTCTTTTCGAGGCATAGCTAAAATAAACTATGATTGGTAAACTATAAACTTGATTGTTCTAAAATGCAACGCAAAATTTCTGAAAGTATCCTACCTCCAACAAGGAAGGCATAGTCAATATCAGTAAAGGCTTCTTTTTCCGTGGTCACGCATTCGACACCTAAAAACAAATGATTTTTGGTTCAGCGAGTAAAATAAACAGTTCTGCTTTAGGCATATGGAATGCTATAGCTGTCTGTATTTTGGTTTTGAGGGGAGGGGAGGGCACATGAAGAGCTGCACTTCTTCACTTCCTTTAGGACTGGAAAAGGGAGCTCAATATCATGCTTGTGTTGCTGACACTTGCTCACTTTTGAGCACTCATGAGTTCGCATTGTATCCGCCGCAATTGTTATGTCCATACAATGTTAACTGGACTGGTCTTAAAAGCATTTCCAGGCAGATCTGGGCATATGGTTCTCGATCGACAGCGTAAATAACTTATTCAACGCAGCGAAATTTACCTCGAACGCCTCAAGCCCGCTACATTACCATATAATCTAACGATTTAGGTCTTAAACCAAAAGAGACAAATGGCAGGCAAGCGAATTTGTCGGCGCAGTAAGTGTTATACTTCAGTATAGACATCTACTGCACATCATAGTATTGTTATACCTTCTGCGAACGACAGTTTTAGCGCAATTGTTATGGTGGAAAAGTACCTATCAAAACAACGAATACACTGCGACTCTGTCGATAGTCGCTGTGGTATTGATGAAGACAGGACGATTGAATCTGGAAGAAAAATGAAGCAGAATTCGTGCTGACTATGTGGGAGCTATGTGGGACCCTTGAATGGTGAGTTACCTACATAGTGAATGATGTTTAATAAAAGTTTACAGAAGTCTTCTGGATGTGTCGTGGCCAATTACAACAGTTCGAAGAGAGCTCAGGTGAACAATTTACAACCTGCTTGATTGATACTTTACCACTTAACGAAAACACGCAGCAGATTGAGTTCCGGAATTTCGAGGAGAAAAAGCATTTGACCATATGCGTCCACCACTCTCTACACACACATCAAGCCGAGAGAATGAAGTTTCCAGATGCACCTTCCAAAATTGAGGAAGATACTGTGGAGGAGTTCGGCGGAGTTGCTGCAGTGTTAAAGATGCCCAGCACGTTTACTTCAGGACAGCATTCGTTAGCGCAGCCGTGGGACAGATATATCAGATAAGGATATAGGCTGCTGGACAAAAGCCGAAGAAAAGAAAGGTGAAACAATACAAAGGGGAAGAACAGTACAATTATCATCATGAGGCAAGACTCTATTATTAAAAAAGTGTGAGATTGTGATTTCCAACCTGAACATGAGAAAGGGAATTCAAATCAAGTGAAGAAGATGTGAAGCGCACTACGATATGCCCCTTCCATAAGGGAGGATTGGGCAGTTGAAGTGGCCGATTGTCACAGGATGCACACCGTTACAAAGATCTGGAAGCGCTAATTTCATTCTGCGTTTCTCTGCTTGGGGGAAGTCATGGGCCTTTCATCATCAAAATTTGCACTGCTTTGAGTGACTACAAATAATGGAGATGTTCAAGTCGCTTCTTGCGTTACAAGATAAGAACATCGCAGTGCGCATGGATATGCTCTACCAAGTAGGTTTGTTTAGGTGTCATTGATTTTGACTATCTAAGCCTTGCAAATTTTGCGAATAAAAGTCCGCTACTTCTTTCTCAGAAACCCTCTGCAGGCATGGAAGGTACCACAAAGAGGTTGTAGGCAGGTTTAAAATTACGCTGCCAGCTGTTTGTGATTATATGCATCTTGTAGTGATCGCCCATTTGGACTTTGTGATCTCTTTTGTCAGAAAACGACTAACTGTGGAGACGATATGCAAATCAGAGCAAAGTGGAGCCTAGGTATGCTGTCTTCCCACTCACTGTCTATTTTAAATGGTCGACGAGACAATTGACAGAGGACCAATCAGCATGTCGTTTGGTCTTCGGTTCTACTCTCTCCACAGAAATTGCTTGGGAGGGTTTTTGCCTGTACACCCATACCACCAGCTTCCTCCACATACAAATGCTTATTTGGATATTCAAAGAGCACTTTTGGTGCAAGGCATGAGGCAGACTCCACTAATCCTTTACACCAATGATATGAATTCGTACATGCTCTAAACAAGCCTAATCCGTTCTATGTATTCTACTTTTCGGGAGCTGGACTTCAGCTGTTTGATGGATATTTTTGTTTTCTCTTTTCTGTTCGTGCTCCTAAGGTTGATTGTTCCGGTTATGGCACGCCTTATGCATGACATATAAATAAATATAAATGTCGTGAACATTGATTTGACCTATTCGCCAATGATGGTCTGACTCTTTTACTGTGAAACCACGCCTAGAGATTGTTCATTTTTAAAGGGCTTCTAGAGCTGCACATTTTCGTATATCGTTCGTTCATGAATCGCCTCACTCCCCAGTCCCTTATCCGCCGCGCATTGCTGACCATATTGTCAGCGATTGTATTGATCCTAAGCGGAGCATCATATGTACGAAATACGAACGTCAATAACGTGACCTTTGATTCAACTGGCTTGGCGGCTGGAAGGCGGGGCTTTGTGACCTAATTAGGGTTGCTCGCGCCCGCGGCGCAGTCGGCGCCTCTCTTGCCTCTTGCTCTTTGACCATTCTTTAGCCTTCTAGGTCACAAGCCCCGCCTTTCAGCCGTGAATCCAGTTGAATCTAAGGGTACAAACACCATCATTTATCTTTCTTGTTGCTCTTTTCATAGAACTATCGTGCTTTTGTACAATGAAAGGCAGGACATCATCTGTCCATTCCAAAGCTCGGAAGAATAAGATCAACAGAATAAGTATGTGGAGCTTACCAATAAGGTTCGGCAGCGCACAGTCTTGCAATTCAAACTTCACCCCTTCGAGTGCGCTAGCCATTGGAGGAATATCGAGCAGAACAAGAACAAGCGGGGTATCCTAAACGTATCAGTTCCCAGGTAAAATAATTCTTTGATTCTATGACTTGGTTTCGAATATTTTTCAGTAATAAATGAGCTTTTACCTTTCCAAACACATCTCCTTTGGCAATTTGAAGAACTAGAGAGTAACCAATTTGTCCAGCAGCACCAGTGACAAGAACTCGGAGCGGTGTCTTTTCTTCGTGCCTATATTAAGCAAAACATGAATCTATGAAGCACTGCAAGGCGATGTTAGCGGCATGGCAAATGTGAGCTGAGTTGAATACAACTGACAACGGGAAAATCACCTGTTTGGAGGATAGAAGGATGTCAGTAGGGATAACAGCGAAATTTCACCCTTTGCAGTATACCATGTTAGTCACTCAGCACTCTGTACGTCACTGATTACTATCAACAAAAAGCATTCTAGGTAGATCTTCTACTTCCTAAAAACGTCTTCTAGTTCCGACAGTAATGGAGCCTTGTGGGGGTTCTGAGCATACTGTATGTTGCCGTAATCCTTCAGCTGAAGTGATAGGTGTTATGCCCCCCCCCCCTTCCCCTTCTTTTCACCGAGCAAATGCTCAAGCCCTTCCCGCAATTTCTGCGCGAATACACATTCTCACCTCAGACAAGGTTGCAGAATCCCAGCAGCTTACTGTAGCCGTTACAGCAATTATGCACCATACAATATTATCTAGTTAACGAAGGCACACGTCATGAGTTACGAACCTTCAAATGCTTTCAAAACGCAACCCGAGTAAAAGCTCTCGATTTGATCTGCATTGATAACTATGTCCAACAAACAGCCTTTCAAAACTGGATTATTCTGCTTCTGAGGACTACTTGATCAAAGTAACAGGATCTCCGTTGCTAAAAAAATCCTTAGGGATCAAGCAACTATATATCATTGGTGAGGGGAAGGCATGGTCTGCTTGAGTTGAAATGTTTTGCAAGTAACTCGTTTTGTACTTAAACAAAAAAGTATTTCTTAAAAGTTCTTGTCAAATTTGGTTTGTGAACAAAATCGTGGTGTTCAGGGTTATGCGAGAGCGTGGCTAGTGCCACGTATGTTCGGAGACGTTTCTGCCACCCGTCTTCTTTTTTTTCTTCCCCCCCCCCTTCCCTCACCTAAGAAAAAGCATCGTACTGCCTCTTCCAACAAAATCAGTATTAAACTGCATTTTCTTTTCTTCTACCTACGCTTACTACAGGGTTGATCCACCATGTGCAGTTGCTCTACTTTTTATCGTACTGTATCTTGGAATTCAGTCGCTTTAAGGCCTGACATCGCACCATTTCTTCAGTACTGATAAATGCAGCATTATTTTCAATTTTTTGTTGCATGGAATAAAAACTTAGCGGTCTTGATGTATCCCACTTCACCATACTTGTTCCAATGTATGAATAATCTCACCAAAACACAAGCTCCGCATGGTGATCGGTAAGGATCTCGTAACGGAGGGGCAACTTACTAATTCAACTAATTCCCAAACTTGGGATTAGCAAACCAACCGAAAAGCTTCGAGGACGGTAGGACCTCCCTCGGGCAACCGTAATCGCTCACGCTAGAACAAACTCGGACAAATTGCGCCTCAGTCTCACGAGTCACGCGAGTATTCTGCTTTCTCAAGCACTCGCTACTTTCTAAACTAGTTACGCCGACGGAGAGCAAACTGAAAATCCTAAACCCATTTATGCGTCTTATCGCTGAACTAGAGTCGCGTGCCATCGCAGCGCATTTTGGCGGGAGAATGACGATGGAAGTATGCACAAAGGGATAAGCGATGCCTATACACTAGGGCTTTACTTACAAAGAGATAAAGCAGCGACTCTTTCACTTTATTAGTTGCGAATCAAGTATAGCCTAGCAGATTTGACGTTGATATAGTGTTGCGACACATTTTGGCGTAAAAAAGGTCATAGGGCACAAAGCTGCAATGTGCGCTCCATGGCCATTTTTTACGCAAAAATGTTGTATACATCGTAGCGGCACTAATTTAATCTTCAAATCTACTAGACCACATTAAGAAAGCAAGAAAGCAGAGGGGGTAGAAAGAATCTGTGTCACTTGGAAAGATCAATATGTCTGCGTTATTAGGGCGAATCTGTGGAAAAAAACGTTTTGCACATGCACCAGAACACCAAGCACGAAGAAAACTTATATTTATTAAACAAGACACAAGAACACACATGAGCGCGTGCCTAACCGTTTGTAATATTATCATCATGCAATATAAGAGAGAGAGAGATAATCTACTAATTTTTAACTACTAAAAATCAACAGCTCATACGTCAAGGATGAGGCAAGTGATCTAGGATGTACGTCAAGAGGGTGTGATTGACACCAACTTTGTGCGCTTACATGTTGGCTTCGTCGCAAGCCTTCAGCGCATCGTCGCGTTCCTCTTCGAGTTCCTGCGAAATGTAAACTTTTGGTGAGCGAGAGAAGCCGTGTGGGGACTGGGGAAGAGGAAGGGAAAGGAGGGAAGCGAAATGACAACAACTATACCTTTTGTGTAGTAGCCAGCTTTTGCTTGGCAAAATCATCCAAGGACAATCCTTGTACGATTTTCCATTCCTTGGTGGATCCATCAATGGTGACTGGGAATGAGAACATCAGACCTTCGGGAATACCATATGAGCCATCAGATGGTACAGCCATAGAGACCCATTCTCCCTAAACGAGATAGCAGATATAATTAATCAATATAATCAATACGCCCGTTTTGTGGGATCCCAAAACCTACAGGCTTAGTTCCGAAATGCCAATCATGAATATGGTCACAAGCAGCCTTAGCGGCAGACATAGCAGAGGAAAGCTTTCGTTTCTCGATGATGACAGCACCACGTTTTTGGATAGTCTGAAAAAATCAGCTCTAAATACTATAAAAAATCAGGGAGCTCAAGATTTACCGAGATGAATGGTCCCTGGAGGTAGGCGGTATCGTTAACAGCATTGTAGGCTTCAACACTTTGTCCTCCTAGAAAAAGAGATGGAAAGTGGACCATTGGGCAGAATAAATAAGTTTTTACTAAGACACTTGGACGACAAAGAATTTGTCCTGCTGCTCAAAATTTTTTACAACTTACCAACAACTATAGCAGCAAATTTTCTCAAAAAATCATACTTCAACCAATCATAATCCAGTTCTGCGTATATTACTGTTGATTTCGAGAAATATTGCAATGAACGAAATCATCACACCTTTCGTGACTGTGGCATGTTTCACATCGGGGAACTGAGTGCTTGAGTGATTTCCCCAAATGATGACATTCTTCACATCAGCGATAGTGACTCCAGCTTTCATTGCGAGCTAAAATAAAAAATTCGCTTGCAAGTAAAATTGATATGGAGAGTATCAGTTACAGTCTGAAATTCTAGGGGGATGAATAGTAAAAAGATATATTTTTAGAACTGTTCTCCATAAATTATATTAGGTTGGCACGAAAGTTCTTGCGTAATTCAAACAAAATTCAATAATTTTTCAAAGACTAAACCTAAATTCACAATCTTATATGCTAAAAATATTAGAAGTCTTACGCTCTATGATGGATGTTTAAGCATAAGATTCCGTGAGCTGGACATCAAGAACAAAGCTCTCGAATATGGGGCTTCAAATTTTGCGATTTTGAGTTTGGTGCCAGAAAATCGCAGAGTGCCGCTAGCTAGCCGAAAAAAATCTGTAGAATTTACTTACACAACAAAAGTCCACATATTACTTTGGAAGGCTTTGATCTTGCACGGTGAAGCAAAAACAAAAAATTCGTGAAATAAGTCATGTTGCGGAAAAAAATCCCCTCATGTCCGCAGTTTTCCGGCGAAAACACTTTTTTACAATCGAGAAAACGTCACAAGGCTCTAAATAGGCACTATGTCTAATTTCTGGTTGCAAGCTGTGTTTCTGTGGAAAAGTTAGAGCGATAAGGGGATTTGTCCTGTGAAATGAGAATTTTCACAAATTTTTTATTTTCGCGTTTCCATGCGAGATCAAAGCCTGCTAAAACAACGTATGGACTTTAGCTGTGTAAGTAAATTCTACAGATTTTTTTCGGCTAGCTAGCGGCACTCTGCGATTTTCTGGCACCAAACTCAAAATCGCAAAATTTGAAGCGCCATATTCGAGAGCTTCGTTCTTGATGTCCAGCTCACGAAATCTTACGCTTGAACATCCATCATGAAGCGTAAGACTTCTAATATTTTTAGCATACAAGATTGTGAATTTAGGTCTAGTCTTTGAAAAGTCATTGAATTTTGTTTGAATTACGCAAGAACTTTCGTGCCAACCTAATATAACAGTTCTACGACTTAAATTTTTTCTTTCGATTTTCTAACTTTCAAACGTTCGTCTGTATATATCTACCTCTTTGACGTGGTTACCGACACAGTTTTCGAGAAGTGCAATGGTCGCGCTGCGTTCAGTGCATTTGAGTCGCAGAAAGAGAACGCGGAGATGAGATACGCAGACAATTAGAGTCGCGCCGCTGCACAGTGCATCCGTGGTAACAACATACTACATTCTTCTCGCTCTTTTGAAATTCGCGCCGAAGGATGGCTTAGAAAAGTCCAACCACACAAATCTTTTCCTCTTCTGAAATTGTGTTTCAAAATTCAAAAGTGTTTGTCTGTGAAAGCAAATTTTTTTCACACCTAGAAAGCTACATTCCCCCTGTTTGTTCATTGCTTCGCTATGTGTCTGTTCTCAACCTCATTCGCATAAAGTCCTTTGACGCAAGAGGAATGAGCGCGAGCGAATTAGTGCCTACTGCCATAGTGCGAAAGAAGTAAACAAAAGTACAAACTTGTCACATAGCGCTGGGATTTCGCGAGGGAAAGAGCGAGTTACTCAATTCTATCGCAAAATCACCAATTTTGCCCTAATTTCCTGTCGAACCCTTCAAATACCTGATTTCTGGGATCACAACATACCTGAGCAGTTGCACGATTGTGATCAAGTCGAGTCATTGCGGAGAAGTTGCGAGCAGGCACTTTTGGGGCAGCATATTTGGCACAGATGAAGGCGTTGGTATTGGCTGGGTTACCAACCACGATAACCTGAAGAAGCATATATTTACAAGACTGCAGGTCTGTCACTTAAGAGGTACTCGAGTATTTACCTTGGTGGTTGGCTTGGCATACTCAGCCAATGCTTTGCCTTGTGATTTGAAGATCTTCACATTAGCGGCAAGAAGATCTTTACGTTCCATACCCTCTTTTCGAGGCATAGCTAAAAGTATCACATTTGAATTCTGGCAAAAGTTTTCCTTTGAAATATCTCACCTCCAACAAGAAAGGCATAGTCGATGCCAGTGAAGGCTTCCTTTTCTGAGGTAACACATTCGACACCTGTAAAGAAAATTTGGTAAATCGGTGGTATAAAAAAACAGCAGACTAAATTCCAATTAGAAGCACAAATTCGCAAAAATCTCGAACCATATACTAATTTTCGCTAGTGTTGCTAATCAAATTCAAGTAGCCCCAATTCTACTTCAAGGAAATTCTTTCTAAAAGTTCCGATCTCAAATCTCCAAAGATGTTCTCCATTTCCGATTGCTTCAAAATATGAGAAAAATTCTTCGAGGTGCCCTTCTTTTTGCGGAGCCGAGAAATAGTTTTGAAGCTTATTTGGATATTAAAAATTTCCAGAGAATCTCTCAATCATTTGCGTCAGAAACTGATTATAGGCAAATTCACGCATTTGCAAAAATTATCACCATTGCAGGTTTCAGAGATTTGGTGACCCATTTTCGAGGGGGGGAGGGGGGGTAGGGACTACACCGAAGTTATTTGCTCATCAACGTCAAAGCCCAAACGGAGAGGGGATAAAGAAATAAATAGCCAGTTTCGTTTGTTGGGATGCGCTTGAGTTTTGTGATTACAGTACCACACTGCACGAACTTCAAGCAACGGGGAAAAACTCAAAACTCTTAAAAGCTCTTATAAACTCTTTACAATTTTTAAAATTTTGTGGAATTCTGGTAAAGTCAATGTTGAATCCACTCAAGTACTTTCGCAACAATGGATCCACTCAAGTACTTTCGCACTTCGTCAGCCCTCTTATCTTTCCCAGAGAAAAAATTACGATTATGACACCTTATCACCTCCATTTGCAGAGCCCTACTCGCCTCATCCCCAAAAAAAATTCCCATCACTTACCATGCAGAGTCGGCAAAGCACAATCTTGGAGTTCAAATTGAACTCCTTCCAATACGGTAGCCATTGGTGGGATATCGAGCAGGACTAGAGTAACTGGGGTATCCTAAAATGTACAGATTACCCAGTAAGACAAGGAGCTGGGTATGAAGTAACCTTACCTTTCCGAACACATCACCCTTGGCAATTTGGAGCACAAGAGAATAACCAATCTGGCCGGCAGCACCGGTGACGAGAACTCGAAGGGGAGTAGACATGGTTTTGAGCCTATAATATGTAAAATGAAATTTACTCTGAAAATATTTCACGTTGAGTTATTGATAGCGATGAGATCAAAAAGATCATTCGGATAAGAGTGAACTTGACAAGAAGCAGCACGAAAATCGTCCACAAGGGGTAAGGAAACGAATCAGCGAATTTTTGTCGCCGCTGCGGACTACTGGTCCTGCAACAGTATCGCAAAAGGACCAGTTGTCCGCGTAGAAGGCCCAAAATGTCAGTTAGTTCCTCTACCGTCCAGCCAGGAAGAGGAAAGAGGTGAATGTGAGAGCTGAGCTCTCGACTGCTGCCACTGCTGCACTGTGTACCCCCCGACGACTGTGTGCCAGATTTTCAAATCGATTCCGAACGAGAGACTGCCTGTCCCTAATCGAAAAAACGCACTGACGAACGGACGAGTGCCGTTCGCGACCTTACGCAAAAACACACTGCACGATGTGCTTTGCTGTGGTTTTGACGTCTTCCGAGAGTTTGATCGAGCAAAATCAACGAACAATCGAGAAAATAGGAGATAAAACAACTGAACTCCAAAAATTCTGGAATTGGAATGCACTTCCTGGGCAATACATTACACAACTGCAATAAGATTTTCATGCCACTCTTATGTCACTAGATTTCTTTAAAGGACTATTTGACATTTGATTGGTTCACATTGTCTATGAAATTACAGCAGAACTATAGACTTCATATTTCATAGCATGAGAAATTTAATTTCTCCGACTTTCTGCTTTTCTGAATTTTTTTCCTAAGTTTATGATAAAATTTTAGCAGGTCAAAAGTTCTGTATCTAAAAATGACTTTTTATTCGACAACTGAATACGAATCAAGTTTCCAGCATTTTGTGTGAGTCACTAGGTTATCGGACCATAGTTGGGAAACGTGTTTTATTTTAATACAACAAGTAAAACGCAAAATTTTTGTCGAGAATTGAATACAAAATAATTTGTGATCTGAGTCATTATTAACCCATTGGCTAAAGACTGATTAACTGGAAAGAATGTCATACAGCTTGTCCAGTATCATTTCAAGATAATCAAATATACCCTGAAAATAATCAAAAAGTCAAATGAAAAATAAGTTCTCTGTTTTTGATGCATTCCCCCAAAGTTGCCTCTTTCACCACTATGTATTTTCATAAACTATACCAAGCGAAAAAATTTTCTGCAAGATAAGTAGGTAATGAGCAAAATCGTAACCCACTCATTTAAAGAACACTTCAGAGAATTTTCCAATTTTTTTACAAATTATATCTTTAAAATTCCATTGTTCTAATAATTGTTCTAATTCTAACTCTGCTCCTATTGTATTCACCTTTATTCTGATTTATTCTGATCAGTTCTCAAAGAATAAAACAGAACCTAAAACATTAAAATCATCTTTTTCCAGAAAATGACGTTACATTTCCCACCTTTGGAAACGCCTGAAAATACATTATCTACTAATATTTTGGCTCTCTATACATCCGCCGGAAATTCTCGAAGATTGGTATTTGCACTTTCTAATCAACTTTGAATTTTTATTGACCCATATGGTAGTGTTCATCATTTACCAATAATATTCGGATCTTTTTCCTTTTGCTAAATAAACTACAAGAAACTTGACATAACCGAACTTCCGAATAATTTTGTAAATGAATAAAATATCCTGTTGTTCAAGGAAATTGCTAATTTCAACCGCAAAACAAATGATTTCTAAGACGTTATCAATGTCTAGAGCTGCAAGTAACATTAGTGATAAGAACTATTTCATGGCTTTATTGCTTCAAAGCCGTTTTAATGACACCTTGAGAATTTAAAATAAAGCAGAAAAATTGTTGTTGAGCACTTTTACAAATTCTACAGAACAAAATTGTGATGTGGCACTGGCGAGGAATAAAATATTGTGACATTCTGTATTGACAATCATAAGCAACTGGTTTTCAGCATAACAACACTAGAGATCGAGAGCAATAACACTGAAGCATTAGAATACACCAGCAGTCCTGAACGTCTTACGGACACACTTTTTGCTGGTTGGAAGCAAAAAGCAACGACGAGGTTAATAGGATTAGTTGCAAACTTTGAGAAAAAGTAGAGAAAAAGCTTGCATATGAAAAAAGGGGCTAGTTCTGCAAGTTGCAGACAGACGAATAGTGAAAAAAAAACGCTAACATGACTTCTTTATCAAAGAGCCAAGTTTTCGCAGATGCGCAGATTCGATTAAGTCCAGATCGTGGATTGATTCAAAATCTCAAAAAAAATGGGGATAGTTTCCAGATCTCAACTCCCCACGCGCAAGCCTGACCAATGATGCAGAAACATCTTGCAGGCTCTTCAAACCGGGTATTGAAAGATGGATTGCGAATGCCCTGGAATACTTGCAAGGACTTCATGTGGATCATTAAATGATTTATTTCTCCAATAAACCAATCAAGGAACTATTCGAGAAAAAAATGACGCTAAAGCTAGTTTACTAGACACAGTTTCTGATCAGTAAGGCAAAATGTGCAAGGCTTACTCGGATTCTCTAGTCAAATATTGATCATGGGTCTCGAATCTAGGATTACTTAGTTACTGGGATTTAAAGTTAGATTACGAGTCCAAAATAATTTTCGTGATAGTGAAAACACAGCAATTGGCTATTGCATTGGGGTGGTTTAAGGAAAATAATCAGTGAAATCGAACTTGAATTTTGGAAGCATTTGTACTCTTAGAAACAAGGCGTCACGGCAGCCCGAACGCAAATTTTTTTGCGAAGTCAAGTTAAAGTTGTAGAAAATTTCAGAAATTATTTTGAATATTTTCATGTGAAGGCAAATTAGTTGCACAATTTTACTACCCATGTAGAACTTGGGAAAATTTTGCCACACTCTCGGGAACGGAGGGGGGGGAAGGGGGCATTTAGCAAGGGCCCAGTGCTACATAAGCTTCAGATCTATTGGAGTAAGAAAATAGCGTTCGACATAGTGCCCTGCGGCCAGACAATATTTGCTTGTGAAAAGTGCAAGAGGCCAAAATTCGCTTTGGCAATTTCTTACGCGCAAATGTTGTAGACACCGCCAGGGCACTACTAACCATCGACTTTACTAGAATGCATATATTGATAATTTGAGCATGACCCATTGTAGAACATTGTGCGTTAGCATTCAAAAGTTATTGTTTTGTATCTTCCATCTGCTAGCGCGTTATCTTTCAAGCGCTATTCATCGATAACCTTCGGAGAGAAACGTTCATGCTAAACAAGCGCCGATTCATCGATGCAGAGCTGCTGAATACAAAATACCGAATGTGTCATCGCTGTCGGTGAACGAAAAACGATCAGTGTTCGATTAGTGGACGTCATCGCTCGGCAGTGATCGGATGAGGGCCATCGCTCTCTGTCAAACGGCTTGAGCAGATGTTCAATGAACAGGAGGAAAGAACACTTCAGTAACAATGGCTTAGTTCAGTTATTATGTGCTCAAGAATTTTCCGAGCCTAAGCACATGTTGCTGTAATCTGAGATCTGAGTGAAAACAAAGCGGTTATTCAGTATGATTGTTTCGACCAGCAAACTCTAACAAAAAATTTCAGTTTAACAGTCTTTCAGCTCCAACTGAGTAAGCTTCGAAAAATAACAAAAACCTAAAAAACACACAAAATATGAAAGCTGAAATCATCTGATTATGGAACTCTACACATATTCAAAATACACACTAACTAAAAGAAACGCAGACAATGAGAGTGATGAGAGTGCGCATTAAATTGAGAGACACAGAGTTTGCAATAGCGTCCACTGACACGTGAGCATTTCTTGTACTAAATTATTTTTCAGAAATTTGCATTCAGCGGACAAAAAGGGAAATTTTGATGTCAAGAAGATACAAGACCTAGATGGGTGGGAGCGGTTGATTACGCGAAGTTCAAGTATGGGCGATTCATAGCACGCAAAGACTGCGCACCTTTCGGCGTCTCCGATCGAGCGCTCTTTCGTTTCTCTTGCCATCTGCTGTCTCTCCCATGCAAGAACTATCTTGGTCGGACGCAACAGCACCCAGTCTTTGCGTGTCATGAATCGTGTATAATTGGCTGTATGAAAAAAAAAAACGATGATTTGATTTGAAAAAAAGTTGTGTCGTAGCAATATACCGCTATTATTTGGCTGTAACTCAGCAAATTTCCAACCTCTCGGGTTTCGAGGTATTTGCGTCAGGGCACGGTGAGAAAAATTTGTGTATTTCACGCGACTATAACGTAACCCTTCAGCATTTTTTTCGGAAAAGAGTATTGTTGAATTGGCGTCTCGAGCAACCAAGCAGCCAATCACCACACAGGTGAAAGATGCTCGGCCAATAGTAAACAAGCCTGTGCCCTCATTGGCTGATTGGCTGTTCGCGTCACGCCCATTTATTATCACTCACACTCAAAAGTAACAAAGGTTTATTGCGGATGTTTTGAGAAGCTTTGAAACACATCCAGGACATGAAATAACTAGATAGAGGCAACCATGGAGGATTTCGTAAAGCGGTGAGGTAAGATTGAAGAAAGACGGGACAGAAGCCTCTGACACATGAAGGAAGATACATTCTACTCGTATTTGTGCTTATTGGCTATTTACCTAGAGAACATTCGAGAAATTCGTGAAGAACAAAGGAAAGAACTCTTTAGCAAGCAATGAACGGCCACGCGGCGCTTAGCGGCGCGCAAGCTGCCCGCCTCATTGCCAGGCGACATTTCGGCGCTAGGCCTTTTTGCTGGGAAAACAAACGAGATGACCGCCTAAAGGTGCCTTTTGGCATGAAACGCATTGAATATGAAATGAGAATAAGCTAAAAGCTAGAGCTAATACGAGAAGAACCCGCCAACGAAGAGGTCGTCCGTCTTATCAATACGGAGCGGGCGGAACGCGCGCCGTGCTCCGGCGCGCTCTCCGTTGGCACTCGGACACAAACAACTGACACGACGCTCGCGCTGCAAAACATCGATTTGGTAGGAATTTTGTGGCGATAGCACGTACACGGCCAAAAAAGTGGA